ACTTCATTCACAGTAGCCTGTGACAGCAGATGCTTTATGCCAGTGCACTTTGCAAGCGGCCGGCACAACCACGCGTGAGCACAAGTGAGGAGGCAAAACGAAAGGACTTTAATGTCTCAAACCTGGCGCGTCATCAGCTTCCTTAGCTGCATGCGAAGGGGCGGGACAAATGATGTCAATTGCCGGCGCCAATGAGGTTCGTGCACAAGTGCTGAAACTGGGCAGTGGCCCCAGATTTTTTGTCCAAGCGCCACTTGCACTGCAGACGCCTGCCCGGATCACATCAAAATGCAAGTCAGTCAAAAGTCACCGATCAATGGGCCAGCAAAAGCCGGCAGTGCACATCCATCATGCCTGAATGCTGCCGACTTTCGGGAGGGATCCAGTCCGTCCAACGTCGAATTCCTGCCCCTCAAGGCTGCATTGGATAGGGTCAATAAGAAACAAAGTTCTCAGGGTACCTGTATGACCACCGGTGGTGGGCCAGGACAGCAAGATTGACACTAACAACAAACTTGGCAACAGAGCCACCGCCAGTACGACAGGCCTCCCAAATATCGCCCTTGTCGATGCGCACCTTGAAAAGAAACCATTCTTGTGGAGTCATTCCCATCAAGCGCAACCAACAATCTTCATCCCAGGCTGAAAGTCTCGCTTGTGAAACAAACCTGGCCATCAGCCGTCGTGGTTTGCGCGCATCGTATCTTCTTATCTTCTTGTTATTTTTCACTGACCCCTGGCGGGCAAAACCACATATGTAACATGCGTTGCCCAGGTGTTATTCCTTTATGTGAAAAATTGATCTGTGAGTTTTGTCCAATGTCATCCAGAAGCAAGTCAAAGCTGTGCAAACGCCTAAAAGGCCAAGAAAACCTCACACCCCATGGTCTGCCACCAAGCCCAATGGCCACAAGCTCATCCTCCAGCAGCTCTGCATCCAAGCGCTAAAAGCCCATGTGCCTCCGGCTTTGCTCATCTTTGCAACCACTTTCACGCCACTTTGGAGCTCATACTCGTAGACCTCCAAAACGATCCCAGAAATCTGTGCCCAGAAGACTTCTCGGTTTCCAAAGCAGGCAACTCGTAAAACCCATCACTTGTCCCACAGCACACCCGGCCTGGAGTCGTGCGATGATAGCCTGCATGATGCGATGAATGGATCCAGGAATTTCAGCCGCACTATGGCAGCGGGCAAAAAAAAATACCTGCAGTCCAACTTGCATTTGGTAGGCCTGATGATGGGTGGCCAACAGCTACTAAGCCTCACGAATTGATATGACAAACAAGGTGGGCCAGAGAACCCAAAAGCAAGACGGCACACAGCACGCCTTTTCTTGAAAATCTTGGGGTGTGGCCAGCTGTGCTCTGCACGAAATCGACGTAAGATCTTTACTTAAACATCGTGCGCACTGATGGTATCAGGGGCCACGATTCACCACAGCATGCTGTGTCAGCTACGCCTACAGTCTTCTAGTCGCTATTTCTGTTAATGTAATTAACTCTATCCCATCTGTCTAGTCGCTATCTATTTCTGCGTTCTCGTTTAGTTTGCTTCGCCGCAGAGGGAGCGAGCACGAAGCGTGGACGGACAGAACGAAATGAAAATTAAACGACAGAGGGAGCTGACCAAAAGAGCATGAAAACGAAGATATATATGAAGGTGACAGATGGCAAATGATCATGAAAAATGAGACATGATAAAAGATGGGTAAAGACTTCTCTGTACAAAAGCTTCTTTGCATAAAAGCTTCTGCAAGTAAAAGCTTCTGTGGGCAAGAACTTCTCTGTGTAAAGGTTTTTGGTGTAAAAGCTCTTGTGTGTAAAATCTTCTGTGTAAAACGCGCTCTGTGTGTAAAAGTTTCTGTTTGCGAAAGTTTCTTTGCGTACCAGCTTCTGTCTGTAAAAGCTCCTCTGTGTTAAGGTTTTGTTTGTGTAAAGCTTCTGTGTGCAAAAGCTTCTCTGTGTAAAAGACTTCTCTGTGTCAAAGCCTCTGAGTGTACAAGCTTCTCTGTGTAAAAGTTCCTCTGTGTAAAAGCTCCTCTGTGAAAAAGCCGCTCTGTGTAAAAGGCTTCTGTGTGTAAAAGCCTCTGTGTGTGCAAGCTTCTCTGTGTCAAGACTTCTTTGTGTAAAGATTTCTCTGTGTAAAAACTACTCTGTGTAAACGCTTCCGTGTAAACTCTTTCCTGTGTAAACGCCTCCGTGTGTAAAGACTTCTCTGTGTAAACCCGTCTGTGTGTAAAAGCTCCTTTGTTTAAAGGTTTTTTTGTGTTAAAAGCTTCTGTGTGTAAAACCTTCTGTGTGTAAAAGTTTCTGTGTGTAAAAGCTTCTGTGTGTAAAGGTTTCTGTGTGTAAAAGCTTCTGTGTATTAAAAAAAACCTTATGTAAAAGCTTCTGTGTAAAAAAAGCCCCCTGTGTGTACAAGCTTCGCTGCGTAAAAGCTGCTCTGTGTAAAAAATCTGTGCGCCGTAAAGTTGTCTGTTTGTAAAACCTCCTGTGTGTGTGTGAAAGCGTCTGTGTGTACAAGATTCTGTGTGCAAAAGCTCCTCTGTGCAAAGACTTCTCTGTGTACAAAGCTTCTGTGTGTGAAAGTTTCTGTGTGTAAAAGCTTTCCTGTGTAAAAGTTTTCTTGTGCAAAAGCTCCTGTGTGAAAAACTTCTCTGTGTAAAGGCTTTTTTGTGTAAAAGCTTCTGTGTGTACAAGCTGCTCTGTGTTAAAGTTTCTGTGCGCCGAAAGAACGTCTATCTGTAACACCTTCTGCGTGTAAATCTCGTTTGTGTAAGGACTTCTCTCGTAAAAGCTCCTCTGTGTCAAGACTTCTTTGTGCGAAAGGCTTCTCTCTGTAAAAGCCTTTGTGTGTACAGGCTTCTCTGTCTCAAGACTTCTCTGTGTAAAGACTTCTGTGTGTAAAAGCTACTCTGTGCAAAAAAGCTTCTGTGCGTAAAGGCTTCTGTGTCAAGACTCCTCTGTGTCTCTGTAAACGCGTCTGTGTGTCAAAGTTTCTGTGTAAAGGCTTTTTTTGTGTAAAAGCTTCTCTGTGCATGTCCCATTTTTCAGCCTTTGCAAACCGTTTGACCGGTCTTGGGACCATTTGACCAGCCTTGGGTCCACAATTTTTTCAGGCCAATCGCAATGATGGCATTTGTCCTGAAAAAACCCGTGCCAACAGCTCTGCCGCAAACTATTTTCAAGGTTTCCTATCCGTCCAGCATGTTGTCTCGCTCCCTCCAGCAAAGCTCTCCGCAAGCTATTTCCACGGTTTTGTCCCGTCCAGCATGCTGTCTCGCTCCCTCCCAGCAAGGCTCTCTGCAAGCTATTTCCACGGTTTCCTCTCCGTCCAGCACGCTGACTCGCTCCCTTCCAGCGAAGCTCTCCGCTAGCTATTTCCACGGTTTCCTGTCCATCCAGCATGCTGTCTCCCTCCCTCCCAGCGACGCTCTCCGCAACCTATTTGCACGGTTTCCTCTCCGTCCAGTACGCTGTCTCGCTCCCGCCCAGCGAAGCTCTCCGCAAGCTATTTGCACGGTTTCCTCTCCGTCCAGCATGCTATCTCGCTTCCTCCCGGCGAAGCTCTCCGCAACCTATTTGCACGGTTTCCTCTCCGTCCAGCATGCTGTCTCGCTCCCTCCCAGCGAAGCTCTCCTTAACCTATTTCCACGGTTTCCTCTCCGTCCAGGATGCTGTCTCGCTCCCTCCCAGCAAAGCTTTCCGCAAACTATTTGCACGGTTTTCTCTCCGTCCAGCATGCTGTCTCGCTCCCTCCCAGCGAAGCTTTCCGCAAGCTGTCTCGCTCCCTCCCAGCTCAGCAAGCTATTTCCACGGTTTCCTATCCGTCCAGCATGTTATCTCGCTCCCTCCCAGCGAAACTCTCCGCAAGCTATTTTCACACTTTCCTCCGTGCAGCATGCTGTCTCCCTCCCTCCCAGTGAAGCTCTCCGCAACCTATTTGCACGGTTTCTTCTCCGTCCAACATGCTGTCTCGCTCCCTCCCAGCGGACTTTCCCCAAGCTATTTCCACGGTTTTCTCTCCGTCCAGCATGCTGTCTCGCTCCCTCCCAGTGGAGCTCTCCGCAAGCTATTTTCACGGTTTCCTCTCCGTCCAGCATGCTGTCTCGCTCCCTCCCAGCGAAGCTCTCCGCAAGCTATTTGGACGGTTTCCTCTCCGTCCAGCATGCTATCTCGCTTCCTCCCAGCGAAGCTCTCCGAAACTATTTCCACGGTTTCCCATCCGTCCAGTTGTCTCGTTCCCTTCCAGCGAAGCTCCCCGCAAGCTATTTGCAAGGTTTCCTCTCCGTCCAGCATGCTGTCTCATCCTCTCGCGCTTCCTCCCAGCAAAGCTCTCCGCAAGCTATTTCCACAGTTTTCGTCTCCGTGCAGCATGCTGTCTTGCTCCCTCCCAGCGAAGTTTCCTCAAGCTATTTCCACGGCATCATCCCGTCCAGCATGCTGTCTCGCTCCCTTCAAGCGCAACTTTCCGCAAGCTATTTGCACGCTTTCTTCTCCGTCCAGCATCCGGTCTCGCTCCCTCCCACCGAAGTTTCCCCAAGCTATTTCCATGGTTTTGTCCCGTCCAGCATGCTGTCGCGCTTCCTCCCAGCACAGCTTTCCGTCCAGCATGCTGTCTCGCTCCCATCCAGCGCAGTTTCCCCAAGCTATTTTCCACGGTTTTGTCCCGTCCAGCATGCTGTCTCGCTCCCTCCCCGCACAGTTTCCCGAAGCTATTTCCACGGTTTTGTCCCGTCCAGCATGCTGTCTCGCTCCCTCCCAGCGAAGTTTCCCCAAGCTATTTTCCACGGTTTTGTCCCGTCCAGCATGCTGTCTCGCTCCCTCCCAGCGAAGTTTCCCGAAGCTATTTCCACGGCTTCATCCCGTCCAGCATCCAGTCTCGCTCCTTCCTAGCGAAGTTTCCCCAAGCTATTTCCACGGCTTCATCCCGTCCAGCATCCGGTCTCGCTCCCTCCCAGCGAAGTTTCCCCAAGCTATTTCCACGGCTTCATCCCGTCGAGCATCCGGTCTCGCTCCCTCCCAGCGAAGTTTCCCCAAGCTATTTCCCCAAGCTATTTCCACGGCTTCATCCCGTCGAGCATCCGGTCTCGCTCCCTCCCAGCGAAGTTTCCCCAAGCTATTTCCACGGCTTCATCCCGTCCAGCATCCGGTCTCGTTCTCTCCCAGCGAAGTTTCCCCAAGCTATTTCCACGGCTTTCATCCCGCCGAGCATCCGGTCTCGCTCCCTCCCAGCGAAGTTTCCCCAAGCTATTTCCACGGCTTCATCCCGTCCAGCATCCGGTCTCGCTCCTTCCCATGCAGTTTCCCCAGCTATTTGCACGGCTTCATCCCGTCCAATCCGGTCCTCGGCGCCCTCCCAGCCGAAGTTTCCCAGCTATTTCCAACGGCTTCAAATCCCGCCAGCATCCGGTCTCGCTCCCTTCCCAAGCGCAGTTTTCCTCAAGCTATTCCACTGCTTCATCCCGTCCGCATTCCGTCTCGCTCCCCCTCCCAGAGAAGTTTCCCAAGCTATTTCCAACGGCTTTCATCCCGTCGAGCATCCGGTCGTCGCCCCTCCCACGAATTTTCCCCAAGCGATTTTCCACGGCCTTCCATCCCGTCCCAGCATCGGTCTCGCCCCCCTCCCATCGAAGTTTTTCCCCAAGCTATTTCCACGGCTTCATCCCGTCCATGCATCCGGTCTCGCTCCCCCCCAGTCCCAGCGAAATTTCCCCCAAGCTATTCCACGGCTTTCATCCCGTCCGCATCCGGTCTCTCGCTCCCTCCAGCGCAGTTTTTTCCCCAAGCTCTTTCCATCCACGGCTTCATCCCGTCCGCATCCGGTCTCGCTCCCATCCCAGCGCAGTTTTTCCCCAAGCTATTTCCACGGCTTCAATCAATCCCCGTCGGCATCCGGGTCTCGCTCCCTCCCAGCGAAGTTTCCCCCAAGCTATTTCCCCAAGCATTTCCACGTCTTTCATAATCCCGTCTCAGCAATCCGACTATGATCGTGGGCTTGTCTGATCAGCTGGTCCCTGGTCCCCCTAGCTGGTCCGCTGATCCGCTGGTCCCTGATCCGCTGGTCCGCTGGTCCCGCTGGTCCGCTGATCCGCTGGTCCGCTGGTCCGCTGGTCCGCTGATCCGCTGATCCGCTGGTCCGCTGGTCCGCTGGTCCGCTGGTCCGCTGATCCGCTGATCCGCTGGTCCGCTGGTCCGCTGATCCGCTGGTCCGCTGGTCCGCTGATCCGCTGGTCCGCTGATCCGCTGGTCCGCTGATCCGCTGGTCCGCTGGTCCGCTGGTCCGCTGGTCCGCTGGTCCGCTGGTCCGCTGATCCGCTGGTCCGCTGGTCCGCTGATCCGCTGATCCGCTGGTCCGCTGGTCCGCTGATCCGCTGGTCCGCTGGTCAGCTGGTCCGCTGGTCCGCTGGTCCGCTGATCCGCTGATCCGCTGGTCCGCTGGTCCGCTGATCCGCTGATCCGCTGGTCCGCTGATCCGCTGATCCGCTGGTCCGCTGGTCCGCTGATCCGCTGATCAGCTGATCCGCTCCCCTGTGCTGTTCAGCTGACCCGCTGATCGAGACTTAACAGCGCACTGAGGCCGCTTGTCATCAAAACAATCCGCAGCTTCAACCACGTTTTCCCATTGCTATCGACCATGGCCCCTGAAATGGGAGATCCCAACCACAAGTCGTAAGTCGGTTCCCCCGTTGTCCTTGCGCAAGTCTCGCACCTTAGATAATATCAGGTTACAGGCTAGTAGCCAAGCCAAAAGCATGAAGCAGGAAGTATGCAGCACGAGCGATTGTGGGCGCCCTTCTTGGCCAACCCTTCCTGCAAGGCTTTCCGCCCAAGTCTTTTGCCACCAAGATGCACAAGAAGAAGGAGGGCTGGATGGCGAAGAAATGCCTAGACAAAGCCGGCAGGGAAGATGCATTGCATGGAAAATCTGAAAGGGCTGGGTCTCAACCTGTCTTGTGAAGATGGATGACAACAGAACAGGGGCCAGTTGTCAGCTGCAGGCAGCCGCTCTTTTAAACCCGACTTCTGTTGGGTGCTGGCACCATCCTACACGGGATCAATGCGCCCAAGCAGCTTGCCTCAGTCATCCACCCTGGCTCGCTTTGCACGGCGCTCTTCCTTCTTCTCAGCTGCTTTGTCCATAGCAGCAATCAACTCCCGCAGGCTTAGACGGCAAGCTCTCATGAGGTCGTTGTGGTACGCGTACGCGACCTTGCCTGCTGCAGTGTCGGGAATCATTTTCAAACACAAAATCTCTCCGTCAAGGCGGAGCAAGTCGGGAAATTGGGAAGCTGCAGCCCTCATGACAGCAACCCATTTTTCTTTGGGAAGCGCTTTGCGTCCTTGCCCTCGTTCAGAGCGCATCTTGTCACAATCCTCTTTCCTAGTGATCTTCGGTTTGCCCGCAAGAAGGGTCTGCTTCAAAACAGTTCTATCGGTGAAATTCCGGCTATGCAAGCCGTCAGGCTGGACAGTGACACCATTGTCTCCAAACCCAAAATCACTGGCTCGAACATCCTGCAGGGTCAAAGGTTTCACGGCTGCGCAAGGTTCTGGCTCCGGCAGTCCTGGATTGCCCACTGGTGCTGGCAGTTCTGGCACATGTTCCTCCGGCGACTCCTCTGCAGCCTCGTCACCTTCTTCGTCATCGCCCACCTCTGGAATACCTGCGCCAGCTTGGGTCGAAGCAAAGTCTTCAGGCACATATAGGGGATGCGCAAGGCGCCCAAATCATCCGCACGGACGTCTTCCTGCGGCGGCGGTAGGTCTGGGCTGGCTGCTGCATCTCCAAGGGCAATGTGCTTCAGACGCTGCACCTGGTCTGCGACAATACGTCAGGCTGGATGGGGAACAAGGTGACGTTCAGAACACTCAAAATAACGCGGCCAAGGAGCCAATTGAAGCAAGGCGTACGCCCGCTGCAAGTGCCCGGGTGTAACCTGCAAAGCTCGCCCCTCCAGCGCTGCAGGGGAGTGGGCGCCGACAAAGATTTCGAAGACCAGGAGCAAAGCAGCTAAAACCCCTACTTGCCAAGGCGCCGCCCCGAAGCGAGCCCCAGCTTGGATGTCTCCAGTATCACGAACCACGTGGCTTTGGACATTCATTGCTCCCTGGTAAGACAGATGCCATGACTCAGCCTCCGAAGTCAAAGTGATAACTTGGTGTGGCGCTGCGAAATAGGTGGCCACCCTAGCAATGCAATTTCTCAAACGGCACACCTCCGGGATTGCAAAGTTTCGGTTCGCTACCCTCCACTCTGCTTCAAAGCCGTTTGGGGCTGCCTCTGATCGCCTGAAGCGGATGCGGGTCAGCTTGTCATCTAAGAGCCTGACAAGGTAGCCGTCTTCCGACGGCACATACTCACCGGCAGCATTCTGGGTGAGTTGGGCCGCGGCTTCGTCTTCAAGCCCAGCTTCTGCCCATTCTTGGGCAGCTGCGTCTGGCGATGTTGCTTCTTTAGCAACCCCAATGAGGTCTGCAATCTCAGGAGTGAGGGGGACCCACCTGTATGGCGAGACTCCTGCACGCGTCTCAACTCAGAAAATCCACAAAGACTGACAGGCTCAGAACTTGAATTCATGACAGTGTTTGTGCTTTACATGCCTTAATACCGAGAAGTGAGCGCTATATCCAGCATGTAACAGTGCAAGAATCGACCCCGTCCTTCCGGCAAGCAAAAGTCTGCGGGGATGTCCTCATGTGGTTGAACAGGGCGGCCAGTGGAGATGAGGAACCTTTCCTTGGTGGAGGCTGCGTGGCTTCCAAGCTCGCCCTGCTCCATTGGGATGTAGAAGGCCGGGTGCATGTTGCAAGTGATGCCCAAGCTTATGGTTTTACCAGGGTTCTCACCGTAGCTCCCTGCCGTCTTGGTGGCACGAGCACTAGACCCAAATTGCAAGAGCTTGTTGAACGCGCTCTGGTACGGGTTGACTTTGCTTTTTGATTTCTCTCTCGTTGTTGCATTTGAGTCGGACAACAGGCCAAGGCTCAGCAAGAAGTCGTAGGCTTCATCAAAGTTGCCTAGCAAGCCGTACCAGCAACGCCCAGACCAATCTCCTGGCAGCTTGTCTGCGTTGCGGACTTGGTTCCAGTCAGCAGAGCAACGGTGAAACCATTCTTCCGGTGTGGCGCTGGCAACAGTCGCAGAAGCGATTCTTGGCTTCAAATACCTGCAGCAGCGGGGTCACTTGTGTCTTTTGGTTCCTGGCAAAGATTTAGAAACACGTGAAAATTTAACACAAGGTTAGGAAACTGTTCACGCATGGTCAGCGGGGGGCAATTGGACTTTGAAAAGCCCCGCCTCAGGACTTGAGCCGCTCCCTCCTCAAAGCTTTCCTGCTGCAGCTTGGACATCGCATTCTCCAAGATGACTGTGTCCAACTCTTGCCCCAAAGCCTCTGCGTGTCCAGTCATGGAAGACTTTCTGGTCTGGGCATAGTTGACATTGACCGCTACCAAAGTCAGAGGCGACGGTGCTGTGGCAAAGATGGCGACCCGCGCGCCATTCGCCAAAGCACACATCAAAGAAAGACAATGCAAAGCGTAAGGAAATTCAGGATGCGCAGCTCTGACAGAATAGCTTTGGCAAAACTGGTGGCCGGCTTCTCCAAGGACATACTTGGGGTCAAAACGTCTGTCCACCTCATCCCACATCAGCTTCATGGCGGGCACGTACTGCCCATCGTCAGGAGCCCCGGACATGGCTCCGCACGAGAAGCTGCGAACTACCAAATTTGAACCGGGCTACCTAAAGCCGCACCACAATTCTAAAATCAACCTGATCTAGCAAAAGATGGTCACATGTTACAAGCACCACAGCCCGTTCGAATAAAGAGCTACGTACCTATGGCGCTCCCAAACTTCAAACCCTAAGCGTCCGAACATTTTTGGCTTGCTACGCAACATCCTCAGCATCCAAAGAGCCAGCTACCTCCTCCGGCCTGTAGCCTCCCTGCAAAATGATTTCATTGTGGCTCCACGCCATGTCGAGCAAGAAGAACTGAAAACCGTATTCGTTCATGTGCTTGGTTTGGTGCTTGTATTTGCTGAGCCATGTGAAGGTGAACTCGCAAACTGAAGTCCTGACACCAGCGAGAAGAGCGGAGTTGGACGGGAGCTCCGGGTCACATGTTTGCTTGCACCAAGCATCCGTGTGGCCTGCCATGTGGAACTTGTCGCAGACAAAGGTCATGTGAGGTGGCGACAACTGCGCCGCAGCTTGAGAGTGCGCTGCTCGACGCGCGCAATACTTGTGCAAGTGGCACGCATCATCGTGCACCACTGTCGTCACGGTCGGCAGCAAAGCTTTGACAGCAGCGACGCAGAAGTAGCGCTGGCTCAGAGACTCGCAGCCATAAATCTCTTGCATGTGCAAAATAAGGCCCTCGGACAAGCATACGCAAAGCATGCCCGCTGACTTGGCAAGTTGCCTCTGGGCAGTACTGCTTTCCTTGTGCGTTGAACATGCAACAGACGCTAAATCCGCTGGATCTGAACATTGCTCAAGCTCTGCCACGGGTTCAACCTGCGCCTGCAACAGCGGCGGTGCGGGAGAAGGCCCTGCAGTGTCTGAAGGTTGGGGTTCATGAGTACGCTTGCGAAGTTTCAGCTTCTCCGCCCCAACTTGCCGCAAGTACTTGCTCAAGACAGTGTCTGGCACGGCGGAATCCAAGACCCAAGCCTCCCTGCGAGGTTCGGTCGTTTCCTGGAGCAAAACCATCAGTTGCTGCCCATCATTGATAGACTTGTGTTGTAGAATCTCAACATCCTGCAAACGCGAGCACAGACCCAAGCACCGACGCTGAAGCCCTGGGGTTTTAATTCAAAAAAGTAGCCCACGGAAGGAGAAGGCAAACAAAACTGAAAATGTTTGAGGATTCGAGCCAAGACACTGTGTGAGAACGATCTGCGCCAGGAGCTTCACAATGGTGCAAGCAAAAGCAATGCTTGAAAGCAGGCGTTTTTGTGCAGGTGTGGCGCAAAGTTCTGCGGAGGGTTGGAGAGTAAGAACATCCCGCCAGCGCAGCGGCGCAGACTGCCCTCCGGTTCTTTGCATTGCCATCTAAAACAATAACATCGCACCGCATTTTGGCACGCTGAGCACCTTCCACGGCCTTCCGGCTGAATGCTGCTTGCAATGGACCCAAGAACCTGCACGCCGTGTCCTCCATGGGAGATTGAAAATCTACCACAGACAAATCCAAGCCGGCTTCAAGCCCACGCGTCAGCAAGCGCCAGGTGAACCATCCCTGGCTGATCAGCAGCCGCAAGCGTGAAGTGGGGAGACGATGCAGCTGCGAATTGGTGGCAGCTTGCGCCGTCAGTACGTCGGCTTCACTCGTGAATGATGCGTGCTGACGCACCAAACGCAGGGGGAACTGGCGCAGCCAAGGGATACTAAAACCAAAGCTCGAGGATAGCATGAAACATTGCAAGAGTGGCAGCTCTCCCTGGAACACATGCTTGCCTTTGCGTACGCAGTAGTTGTACCAAGGAAGCACCCCAAACTCCGGGCATGAAGGCTTTCTACACCGCAGTGGAACATGCAGCTTTTCAACGACTCCACAAAGGTCTATCACTGCCGCAGGCGTGGCAGAACCTCTGCATTCAGCTAGCCGGGTTTTGCACGCAGAACAGCTCCGAGGCAAGGGGAGCAACTCTTGGGCACAAGTTTCTCTACCGTAGGCAGCAACTCTGGTCGAGAAGAGAGGTTGCAGCTCAGCTGCCAGATGCACAACCAAACCATCTGAAATCTGCGCAGCCGGGTCTGCATTTCGTATGGCTTCAGCAATCACAGCTTGGCTAAACCCGTGCGCCATGAAAAGGAAGAGTCGCAGGCGGGAGGGAAGGTCTTGGGCTCTGCAGTTGCGTGGTTTGTTTCTGGTTGCTCTTCTCAGCCTTGCGGCGAAATGTATGGACTGTCTTAGTGTGATACGTTTGCGCATGGTCATGGTTCTCTCTCCTGTTTGAAAATAAAGGCACAGCAGGGGCACAAGCTGCGAACTCTTTCCGTGATCACTGGTCATGTCACGTGGTGCAAGTGTCAGAAATCAAGCTGCAAAACCACCACTGACACCACAAAACCCGGAGCAGGGGCGGCGGCCTTGTCAAAGCGGAAAGCATTCTACGTGTACAGAAGGTGCTTGCAGGAGACACCTTTTCATGGCAGGCAAAGGTCACTGAGCAAGATTGCCGATATATACATGTTGAAAAGTTGAAAAGTACGTCCGTGATCGCTGGTCATGTCACGTGGTGCAAGTGTCAGAAATCAAGCTGCAAAACCACCACTGACACCACAAAACCCGGAGCAGGGGCAGCGGCCTTGTGAAAGCGGAAGGCATGCTACTTGTACAGAAGGTGCTTGCAGGAGAGACCTTTTCCTGGCAGGCAAAGGTCACTGAGCAAGATTGCCTTTGTAGATATAGACAGGTTGAAAAGTACGTTCTAGAACTTTGCTTTGATCCGCTGATCCGCTGGTGCGCTGATCCGCTGATCCGCTGATCCGCTGATCCGCTGATCCGCTGGTCCGCTGGTCCGCTGGTCCGCTGATCCGCTGATCCGCTGATCCGCTGATCCGCTGGTCCGCTGATCCGCTGATCCGCTGATCCGCTGATCCGCTGATCCGCTGATCTGCTGGTCCGCTGGTCCGCTGGTCCGCTGATCCGCTGATCCGCTGATCCGCTGGTCCGCTGGTCCGCTGATCCGCTGATCCGCTGATCCGCTGGTCCGCTGGTCCGCTGATCCGCGAACTCTTTCCGTGATCACTGGTCATGTCACGTGGTGCAAGTGTCAGAAATCAAGCTGCAAAACCACCACTGACACCACAAAACCCGGAGCAGGGGCGGCGGCCTTGTCAAAGCGGAAGGCATTCTACGTGTACAGAAGGTGCTTGCAGGAGACACCTTTTCATGGCAGGCAAAGGTCACTGAGCAAGATTGCCGATATATACATGTTGAAAAGTACGTCCGTGATCGCTGGTCATGTCACGTGGTGCAAGTGTCAGAAATCAAGCTGCAAAACCACCACTGACACCACAAAACCCGGAGCAGGGGCAGCGGCCTTGTGAAAGCGGAAGGCATGCTACTTGTACAGAAGGTGCTTGCAGGAGAGACCTTTTCCTGGCAGGCAAAGGTCACTGAGCAAGATTGCCTTTGTAGATATAGACAGGTTGAAAAGTACGTTCTAGAACTTTGCTTTGATCCGCTGATCCGCTGGTGCGCTGATCCGCTGATCCGCTGATCCGCTGATCCGCTGATCCGCTGGTCCGCTGGTCCGCTGGTCCGCTGATCCGCTGATCCGCTGATCCGCTGATCCGCTGGTCCGCTGATCCGCTGATCCGCTGATCCGCTGATCCGCTGATCCGCTGATCTGCTGGTCCGCTGGTCCGCTGGTCCGCTGATCCGCTGATCCGCTGATCCGCTGGTCCGCTGGTCCGCTGATCCGCTGATCCGCTGATCCGCTGGTCCGCTGGTCCGCTGATCCGCTGATCCGCTGAGCCGCCGCTGGCCCAGACGATATGGCGATCATGAGTGGGAAGGTTGCAGCAGCTTCTGATGTGTCTACACGTAGACAAGATGGTTCAATGGTGGCACTGGCTGAGCTGCGCAATGCCCTCGTGGAGCATTTTGCACCGCAGGCGAGTCTGTTGGGGGGAGATGTTTGGTTTGGTGAAGAGTTCGTTTCAGTTGTTAACAGTTTCTTTGGGTAGCATCACAGAAGGTGTTTGGGGAATGCTTTGACAGTTCTCTGCACAGGAATCTGGCACCTAACATTTCTTGTGGTCTTGGCACGGAGTGTTATAGGGATATAAGTATAGATTGTTGTGCAGATACTTGGTTATTGATGAGTTTTGTGTCTGTTGGCAAAGTTCTTTTCATGAGTTATGTTACTTCAAGAGCCCGCGTCCACCACAATTTCAGAGCCTATGCGGTGGCAGGAGCGTGGAGATGTGGGCGGCAGTATTTCGGCACAGGTGGAAGAGCTTCGTATGGACGCCAGCAGCAAAGGACGCACGTGGCTGCAAGAGAAGATTGCGAGCATGACACAGGGTGTCTTGCAGAAGGTTGCAGCAGCTTCTGATGTGTCGGCACGTAGACAAGATGGTTCAAAGTTGGCACTGGCTGAGCTGCGCAATGCCCTCGTGGAGCATTTTGCAGCGCAGGCGAGTCTGTGGGGTGGAGATGTTTGGTTTGGTGAAGAGTTCGTTTCAGTTGTTAACAGTTTCTTTGGGTAGCATCACAGAAGGTGTTAGTTTAGATGCAGTGGGAGCAGTTGTGTGGATAGTCGTGTTTGGGGGGTGCTCTGACAGCTCTCTGCACAGAGGATTTTGTTCGCGGCAGGATGATGATGTGCATGCATTGAAAGCTAGACTAGAGCAGCTTCGTATGGATGGCCGTCGGGAAGGCGTGAAGTGGCTTCGAAAGGTTGTTGGTGAGATGGAAGAGCATGCGCTGCGGTCCCTGAGCGCAGCGGCTGGCTTGGGGCTTGTCGATGGCAGCGGAAAGTCGCTTTCTGGCGCCAAAGTTCGGGCATCGTTGGTGAAGTATCTGGCTCCTGAGGCGGGGGATTGAGGATGACAGATGGAATGTTTTTGTTGTTTTGGTGGAATGCTGAGAGACTGAATGTTGTCAAAAAGGAGGTCAGCAATGCATCGTGACATCCTGACATTTTCAGAGAGAAAATTTGCAACTTCAACTACTAGTGTCAAAACAAGCACAGCTTTCGTTCTGATTGTCGGTCAGGATAGAAATGATGATCGCAACGATATCGGTACAATACTTTGGTAAATGTATCAGAGTGCCGCACTGTTGCCAACTGAGCCAGATGGACATGAATTGGAGGAGAGTGGTGGCCGGACATTGACAGGCTGTTATGTGTCTTTGAGGCCAAGTTATCAGCGCCGGGAGGAGCAAGCTTTGGGTGATGGAGAAGTTTGGAAACGAAAGTTTTGTGAAGATTACGGACGATTGGTGATACAAAATCATTTTCACAAATGCACGAAATCATGTTTCAAGAAGAGTCTTGGTGATGATTTCACGGGGAAACGGGTTTGCAAACTTGTTATGTATGTTTTTTGCTTCGGTGTTTTGCTATTAGTTTGCTTACTTTGTTCAGCTTAAAATGTTCGTATTCTGTGTCAGATCTTTGCCACGGAGGAAAGCTGTGAAAGGCAAGCGTGGATGTCGCTTTGGTTGTTTTCACATTGAATTGATCAAGGACGCTGAAGGCAAGCAGAAAACAATTTGTAAAAAAGGATGGCCACGCGTGCAGAAGGCGTGTTTTTCAAGGCTACAGTATGAAACTGAAGACTTGGCACGACAAGAGGAATTCAAGAATGAGAACCCGCATGTTTTTCAGGCTCAGCGGGCTCATCCTTTTGAAGGCATGTCGAATCCAGTGGCTCAAGTTGTCATGCGTTGCAACGTTGATGTGAAGTACATTGGTCGTGCATTTGCTGAAGAAGATTTGAACAAGTTTTGCGATGGGAGCATGTCATCGGACTTTGATGAGTCACACACTGATGGGGTGCATGCACAGGGTCACTTGCGTCCTGTTGTGCCACAGCCTGTAGCCGGGTCGTCGCAACCGGAACTGTCCGAGCGCGATCTGTGCGACATGGATGTGGCGCAACAGGACACGGGTGGGCCTGCCTCGCAAGACTCAGGATGCAAGAGAAAGAAGACAACTGTGGTGCGCGAACAAGGTCACTTGCGTCCTGTTGTGCCACAACCTGTAGCCGGATCGTCGCATCCGGAACTGTCCGAGCGCGATCTGTGCGACATGGATGTGGCGCAACAGGACACGGGTGGGCTTGCCTCGCAAGACTCAGGATTCAAAAGAAAGAAGACAACTGTGTTAAGTCAAAGTGTTCCAGAGTCCAGGAGGATGCAGACTATGAAAATGGCTTTGGAACGGGTGCTTGTCGATATGTCACGGGATATGCAAGATGTCGGCTTTTACACTGGTGAATATGCTGCCAAAAAATTTGAGATTTCTCGGAGCATGTTGCCGGAGCTGTATGCAGGCAGGATTTGTGTTGTTACATTTCTATTTTGTTTTGTCATTGTTATTGGTGTTGTGGTAGGTGCTATTCTGTTGCTGTTGCTGTTGTTGCTGCTGTTGTTGTTGGTGGTGGTGTTACACATGTTGTTGTTGTTGTTGTTGTTGTTGTTGTTGTCCTTCTTGTTGATGTTGGTGTTGTTGTTGTTGTTGTTGTTGTCCTTCTTGTTGATGTTGGTGTTGTTGTTGTTGCTGTTCCTTTTAATCTTCCTGTTGTTGTTGTGGTTGTTGTCGTTCTTGTTGTTGTTGCTGATGATCTTCTTCCTCTTCTTCTTCTTCTTCATCTTCTTCTTCTTCTTGTTATTCTTCTTCTTCTTCTGCTTGTGCTTCTTCCTTCTTCTTCTTTTTCTGGCTGTTTGCTTGTAGTTGTTTTTCAATTATTCTTCTTCTTCTTCTTCTGCTTGTGCTTCTTCCTTCTTCTTCTTTTTCTGGCTGTTTGCTTGTAGTTGTTTTTCAATGTTTGCTGGTTGTGTTGAACACATGGCAGGAGTACAGAGATTGGAAGAGGAAGAAGCAAAGCGACAGCAGGCCGCCGTGGAAGATGCCAGCATGGAGAACGTGGATGCAAAGAAGACGCCTGGCATGAGTGGGCCACAAAGTCGTGCGCTGAGTATCTTGCGTCGTCTGGCCTTCGGAATGAATCGCTGCATCGCCAAGTCGAACGGGGAGATGGCGTATCAGCTGCTCTTTGAACAAGAACAGTACGTCACATATCGTGGCTACAACATGTTTTTTCGGTATCTGCCATTTGCAATCATGCGGTGCAGGGCAGATGCAATTGCAGCGGCACTGGCCGACGCACCTCATCTCACTGCAGGTCCAGTTGATGTTGTCGAAGATGTGGAGGACGTGCCAGTCGCTGTGGATGAGATTGCAGAAGTGATTGAAGATGAGGGCGAGGGGACCCGAGTGACGCAAGTTCCAGTGCACTTCAATCAGAAAGATGATTATCTGCATCGTGGCTCTTCTACATTGCTGAAATGCATGTCACTGGCAATGTACTCGAGGTTTGTGCGTCGTGTTCCACGCGCAAAGGCTGGTAAAGTTGATGGAGTGAAGATTTTTGCATTCGACGAGCATTATCCACATCATAAAGAGTCGGTGCAGGACATTGGGCGAAAACAGAACTTGTGAATCTTCTGTGCATGATGTTAAGTAAGTGTTGTGAAGCAATTGTTGTTTTTCATGCGTGTGGAAGTTTTGATTCCTTCAGGAAGTCAGAGCTGCTGATGACAATGTGGTTGTGCCGTCTGATTTACATTTGCCACAGGAAGCGGAGCCTCAAAAATATGCTGCACATGCTCGGGCTGTGTTTCCCCTTTCCAACGTGCACTGGTGATTGCAGCGATTCCTACAAATGCTTTGCGTGTCACATTTTGGAGAAGAATGAGAAGGAAGGGATGATTTTTGCTAGATTTGTGCCGCAGTGGCGACATTGGAAAGCGTGCATGCTGGTTCGTAGAGAGACTGCACAGGAGCGCGTGTTGGCAGGATTGTCTTCGCCTGTGATTCGAGATGTCAGCACTGTCCGCAAATGTTTCCCGCGTTCTTCAGCAAGCGGTGATGGGGAGACTGTGGCAACTTTGATGCGTGTCCTGCATCGCAAACTGCGGCCCCGGGACTGCCGATTTCATGACGTTCCTCGGATTTTGGAGCGCATTGCTTGGTATCTTGATGTCAGGCCTCCATATCACTACACTCAGTTGTCGCCGTTGGAATATCTTTCTATCATCCAGACAGCCTGGATGGAGCGCTTTGAACAACATCACGCTGCACGCAGGCTCAGCAGCAGTCGTCGACGGGCAGAGCGGTTCGCTCTGATGACAAAGCTGGAAGACGACGACATTGAGGATGATTGTGCGCCACCTGACATCGAAGGAGATGAAGTTGAAGATGACCTGCGGCGTCAAGATGAGTTGGAGCGGCTTGAACGGGCGCAGTACATTGTGGATCATGAGGCTTTACATGAAGCCATGTTTCGAGAGCAGGATTGGATGCGTGTTTTGAGCAATCCACGCGCAACTGTTTTGAAAGACACCTTGCGACATCTTCGTGACTTTGTCAATGCACTTGGAGGAATTCCAGATGTGAGGAGAGGCATGGGCATTCGAAGCAGCAGTGTGGCTGGTGTCGAGCGCAGCTGGACTGCGGCAGATGCTGAGAGAGGCATGGCTTTGCAGAAGCAGTACTTGGAGTTTTGTGCTGGAGGCCGGGGGCTGTATCTTTGTTGGTGGAGCGTGCTTTGTGCATTCGAGTGATTTGCTTTTTTTCTTGTGGTTTGTTTGGTTTGTAAATTGTTGCAATGAAGGTTTGGAGGAGGAAGATGAGCAGATGCCAGACCAGCATTTTGAACCTTTGGAAGAAGCCATCGATCCATTTTTGGCTGCACTCAACGCTCAATGCATTGGACCAGGAGACTATGCTGCGGAGCTTGTCGTCAATTCCACCCTCAATCGACAACAGATTTTGGCAGTGGCTCCGATTGCTTGGGTCATGGAGCAGATGTGGTTGAATCGCTCCAATCCACAGTCAACTTTGGCAGATGGCGCAGCCACTGAAAGCTGCAATTGCCTTTGGTTGGGCGCTGGTGGCTCTGGCAAGACATACGCCTACTCCAAAGTCTTGCGGCCAATGTTCCGTCGTTATTTCGGTGATGGTGGTTACATTGTTGGGGCGCCAACACATGCAGCTGTTCGTCTCTTGGGCCCAGAAGCAAAGACATTGCACAAGTGGGCGAACGTGAGCCCGAACAGTGGCCTGGACCGACGTTCCCTCCGGTCGGCTAAGAGTAAAGGCAGTCCGATTGAGAAGAAGATCATGGAAGTTATGGCCGTATTGCTCGATGAACTGTCCATGAATCCTCCTGACGTTTACCATGCCGCTGGCTTTCGTTTTTTCCCGAGAGCGTCTGAGCGCAGGGTTCTTCCAATAGTGGGGGTCTGTATCTTATCTTCTCATCTTCACATCTTCTCATCTTCACATCTGTTCATCTTTCATCTCCATCTTCACATCTGCTCATCTTCACATTGCTCATCTTCATCACCTTCTTTCACATCTTCTCATCTTCACATTTCTCATCTCATTCTTTCACATCTTTCTCCACATCTGCTCATCTTCACATCTGCTCATCTTCACATCTGCTCATCTTCACACCTTCTCTCACATCTTCTCATCTTCACACCTTCTCTCACATCTTCTCATCTTCACATCTGCTCATCTTCACATCTTCTCTCATATCTCTCTCACATCTTCTCTCACATCTGCTCATCTTCACATCTTCTCTCACATCTTCTCTTACATATTCTCTCACATCTTCTCTCACATCTTCTCTCACATCTGCTCATCTTCACATCTTCTCTCACATCTGCTCATCTTCACATCTGCTCCTCTTCACATCTTCTCTCACATCTGCTCATCTTCACATCTGCTCATCTTCACATCTGCTCATCTTCACACCCTCTCTCACATCTGCTCATCTTCACATCTGCTCATCTTCACATCTGCTCATCTTCACATCTTCTCTCACATCTCTCTCCTTTTTCTCTCTCTCGCCTTCTTTATCTTTCTCTCTTTAGGCCGAGGGTGGTGCCGGCGGTGAGTCACGAAACAGCAACCCTTTCGCACGAAATGAGGGTTGATCGGCAAAAACTGAGGTAAAAGTGCGATTTTACTTGTGCCGGAGCAACCCTTTCGCACGAAATGAAGGTCGATCGGCAAAAACTGAGGGAAAATTGCGATTTTACTTGTCCTGGAGCAACCCTTTCGCGCGAAATGAGGGTCGATCGGCAAAAACTGAGGTAAAAGTGCGATTTTACTTGTGCCGGAGCAACCCTTTCGCACGAAATGAGGGTCGATCGGCAAAAACTGAGGTAAAATTGCGATTTTACTTGTCCCGGAGCAACCCAAGCCTTTCGCACGAAATGAGGGTCGATCGGCAAAAACTGAGGTAAAAGTGCGATTTTACTTGTGCTACGGCAACCCTTTCGCACGAAATGAGGGTCGATCGGCAAAAACTGAGGTAAAAGTGCGATTTTACTTGTCCCGGAGCAACCCTTTCGCACGAAATGAGGGTTGATCGGCAAAAACTGAGGTAAAATTGCGATTTGACTTGTCCTGGAGCAACCCTTTCGCACGAAATGAGGGTCGATCGGCAAAGTGTAAAAGCGTCTGTGTGTAAAAGCGTCTGTGTGTAAAAGCGTCTCTGTGTGTAAAAGTGGCTGTGTGTAAAAGCGTCTGGGGCAACCTTTTCGCACGAAATGAGGGTCGATCGGCAAAGTGTAAAAGCGTCTGTGTGTAAAAGCGTCTGTGTGTAAAAGCGTCTGTGTGTAAAAGCGTGTCTGTGTGTAAAAGTGGCTGTGTGTAAAAGCGTCTGTGTGTCAAAGCGTCTGTGTGTCAAAGCGTCTGTGTGTAAAAGTGTTTGTGTAAAAGCGTTTGTGTGTAAAAGCCTCTGTGTGTAAATGTATTCGTGTGTCAAAGCGTCTGTGTGTAAAAATCGTTTGTGTGTAAAAAGCGTCTGTGTGTAAAAGCGTCTGTGTGTAAATGTGTTTGTGTGTCAAAGCGTCTGTGTGTAAAAAGCGTCTGTGTGTCAAAAGCGTCTGTGTGTAAAAGTGTCTGTGTGTAAAGGCGTCTGTGTGTAAAAGGGTCTGTGTGTAAAAGCGTCTGTGTGTCAAAGCGTTTGTGTGTAAAAGCGTCTGTGTGTAAAAGTGTTTGTATGTAAAAGCTTCTGTGTGTAAAAGCCTCTGTATGTAAAAGCTTCTGTGTGTAAAAGCTTCTGTGGGTAAAAGCTTTGTGTGTAAAAGCGTCAGTGTAAAAGCGTCTGTTTGTAAAAGTGTTTGCGATGCAAACTATTGTCTTGCACTTCCCACTATCCTGTCTTGATACTCCTCTTCTCGACTGCCTATGACAGAGCTTTCATATATCGTTTCTAATATTGCGTCTCCATACTAACAAGAGAAGACCCTGCTCCCCCCTGAACTGTCCGAGCAAACATGACTGTAAGCATTTCCAGAGCTTCTTTTGGTGGCCGTGGTGCTCGTCTTTGGAGATTTTGGAGGCCTGCTGCATGTTGTCATCAGTGTGTGGCAGTCGCAGTCATTCGATGTTTTGCAGCTAGCTTTTGGTAAAACCGCATGATTTTGCGAGTTTCAACTGCAAGCTTGTGTTCCGTTTGTTCGTCAAAGCATGAAGCTGGTCGGCGCAGCTATTGGTTCGAGATTTGTATCGCGCTTGGCGTCTATAAGGTGTTACTCTGGGTTCGCTGCAACCGGATATGTCCGAGAAGGTCCGAGAGTTGCAACAAGGCTTGACAGAGGGAGGAGTTGATCCCTTCCGGCGCCAGGTGCGCAAACTTGGGATCAATGCATTGAAGGCTTTAGCTTCTGAGCTGGGGATATCAGTGTGTGGCAGTCATTCGATGTTTTGCACCGCATGATATTGCGCCAGGTGGCAAACTTGGGATCAATGCATTGAAGGCTTTAGCTTCTGAGCTGGGGATGTCAGTGTGTGGCAGTCATTCGATGGTTTGCAGCTAGCTTTTGGTAAAACCGCATGATATTGCGCCAGGTGGCGAACTTGGGATCAATGCATTGAAGGCTTTAGCTTCTGAGCTGGGGATGTCAGTGTGTGGCAGTCATTCGATGTTTTGCAGCTAGCTTTTGGTAAAACCGCATGATTTTGCGCCAGGTGCGCAAACTTGGGATCAATGCATTGAAGGCTTTAGTTTCTGAGCTGGGGATGTCAGTGTGTGGCAGTCATTCGATGTTTTGCAGCTAGCTTTTGGTAAAACCGAATGATTTGACGCCAGGTGCGCAAACTTGGGATCAATGCATTGAAGGCTTTAGTTTCTGAGCTGGGGATGTCAGTGTGTGGCAGTCATTCGATGTTTTGCAGCTAGCTTTTGGTAAAACCGCATGATTTTGCGCCAGGTGTGCAAACTTGGGATCAATGCATTGAAGGCTTTAGCCTCTGAGCTGGGGATGTCAGTGTGTGGCAGTCATTCTATGTTTTGCAGCTAGCTTTTGGTAAAATGGTAAAACCGCATGATTTTTGCGAGTTTCAACTGCAAGCTTGTGTTCCGTTTGTTCGTCAAAGCATGAAGCAGGTCGGCGCAGCTTTTGGTCCGAGATTCGTATCGTGCTTGGCCTCTATAAGTTGTTACTCTGGGTTCGCTTCAACCGGAAATGTCCGAGAAGCTCCGAGAGTTGCAACAAGGCTTGACAGAGGGAGGAGTTGATCTCTTCCGGCGCCAGGTGCGCAAACTTGGGATCAATGCATTGAAGGCTTTAGCTTCTGAGCTGGGGATGTCAGTGTGTGGCAGTCATTCGATGTTTTGCAGCTAGCTTGTGGTAAAACCGCTTGATTTTGCGAGTTTCAACTGCAAGCTTGTGTTCCGTTTGTTCGTCAAAGCATGAAGCTGGTCGGCGCAGCTTTTGGTTCGAGATTCGTATCGCGCTTTGCCTGTATACGTTGTTACTCTGGGTTCGCGTCAACCGGAAATGTCCGAGAAGCTCCGAGAGTTGCAACAAGGCTTGACAGAGGGAGGAGTTGATCTCTTCCGGCGCCAGGTGCGCAAACTTGGGATTAATGCGTTGAAGGCTTTAGCTTCTGAGCTGGAGCTGTCCGTGGAGGGGAGTCGCTTGAAGGAAGAGTTCGCAAGCCGGGTTTGTGCAAAGATCGAAGTGCAAGAATCTGTTACACGGTTGCGCTGTGTCGTGCAAAGTGGTGGCACAAAGGGACTTTGGACGCAGCTCAAGGCGCTGAAGGTTGAAGATCTTCGTGTCATTGCACAAGAGATTGGCTTGCCGTCAAGTGGAGTCAGGGACGCAGTGATGAAAAGGCTTTTCCAAGACATATCTGCACAGGAATCTAGCACCACTGGTGGACCATTGCCGTCCAGTTCGTCTCGCCGCCCGGAATTGCCCGAGGCGGGGAATGATGAGCAGCCGCCGCGGAGGGGCTGCATCACAGAAGGTGTTAGTGTGGATTTAGTGGGAGCAGTCGTGTGGATAGGTGTTTTTGTTTCTTGTGGTCTTGGCACGGAGTGTTATAGGGATATAAGTATAGATTGTTGTGCAGATACTTGGTTATTGATGAGTTTGGTCTCTGTTGGCAAAGTTCGTTTCATGAGTTATGTTATGTTACTTCAAGAGCCCGCGTGCATCACAATTTCAGAGCCTATGCTGCGCCAGGAGCGTGGAGATGTGGGCGGCGGTATTTCGGCAGAGGTGGACGAGCTTCGTATGGACGCCAGCAGCAAAGGACACACGTGGCTGCAAGAGAAGATGGCGAGCATGACGCGGGATGACCTGCGGAAGGTTGCAGCAGCTTCTGATGTGTCTACACGTAGACAAGATGGTTCAATGGTGGCACTGGCTGAGCTGCGCAATGCCCTCGTGGAGCATTTTGCACCGCAGGCGAGTCTGTTGGGGGGAGATGTTTGGTTTGGTGAAGAGTTCGTTTCAATTGTTAACAGTTTCTTTGGGTAGCATCACAGAATGTGTTTTTTGGGGATGCTCTGACAGTTGTCTGGACAGGAATCTGGCACCTAACATTTCTTGTGGTCTTGGCATGGAGTGTTATAGGGATATAAGTATAGATTGTTGTGCAGATACTTGGTTATTGATGACTTTTTTGTCTGTTGGCAAAGTTCGTTTCATGAGTTATGTTATGTTACTTCAAGAGCCCGCGTGCACCACAATTTCAGAGCCTATGGGGTGGCAGGAGCGTGGAGATGTGGGCGGCAGTATTTCGGCACAGGTGGAAGAGCTTCGTATGGACGCCAGCAGCAAAGGACGCACGTGGCTGCAAGAGAAGATGTCGAGCATGAAACAGGTTGACTTGCGGAAGGTTGCAGCAGCTTCTGGTGTTTCTACGCGTGGAGAAGATGGTTCAATGGTGGGAGTGGCTGAGCTGCGCAATGCTCTCGTGGAGCATTTTGCACCGCAGGCGAGTCTGTTGGGGGGAGATGTTTGGTTTGGTGAAGAGTTCGTTTCAGTTGTTAACAGTTTCTTTGGGTAGCATCACAGAATCTGTTTGGGGGGTGGTTTGACAGTTCTCTGCAGAGGAATCTGGCACCTAACGTTTCTTGTGGTCTTGGCACGGAGTGTTATAGGGATATAAGTATAGATTGTTGTGCAGATACTTGGTTATTGATGAGTTTTGTCTCTGTTGGCAAAGTTAGTTTCATGAGTTATGTGATGTTACTTCAAGAGCCCGCGTGCATCACAATTTCAGAGCCTATGCTGCGCCAGGAGCGTGGAGATGTGGGCGGCAGTATTTCGGCACAGGTGGAAGAGCTTCGTATGGACGCCAGCAGCAAAGGACGCACGTGGCTGCAAGAGAAGATGGCGAGCATGACGCGGGATGTCCTGCGGAAGGTTGCAGCAGCTTCTGGTTTTTCTACGCGTGGAGAAGATGGTTCAATGGTGGCACCGGCTGAGCTGCGCAATGCCCTCGTGGAGCATTTTGCCCCGCAGGCGAGTCTGTTGGGGGGAGATGTTTGGTTTGGTGAGGAGTTCGTTTCAGTTGTTAACAGTTTCTTTGGGTAGCATCACAGAATGTGTTTGGGGCAATGCTCTGACAGTTCTCTGCACAGGAACCTGGCACCTAACATTTCTTGTGGTCTTGGCACGGAGTGTTATAGGGATATAAGTATAGATTGTTGTGCAGATACTTGGTTATTGATGAGTTTTGTCTCTGTTGGCAAAGTTCTTTTCATGAGTTATGTTATGTTACTTCAAGAGCCCGCGTGCACCACAATTTCAGAGCCTATGCTGTGGCAGGAGCGTGGAGATGTGGGCGGCAGTATTTCGGCAGAGGTGGAAGAGCTTCGTATGGACGCCAGCAGCAAAGGACGCACGTGGCTGCAAGAGAAGATGGCGAGCATGACGCGGGATGACCTGCGGAAGGTTGCAGCAGCTTCTGATGTGTCTACACGTAGACAAGATGGTTCAATGGTGGCACTGGCTGAGCTGCGCAATGCCCTCGTGGAGCATTTTGCACCGCAGGCGAGTCTGTTGGGGGGAGATGTTTGGTTTGGTGAAGAGTTCGTTTCAATTGTTAACAGTTTCTTTGGGTAGCATCACAGAATGTGTTTGGGGCAATGCTCTGACAGTTCTCTGCAGGAGTGTTATAGGGATATACGTATAGATTGTTGTGCAGATACTTGGTTATTGATGAGTTTTGTGTCTGTTGGCAAAGTTCTTTTCATGAGTTATGTTACTTCAAGAGCCCGCGTCCACCACAATTTCAGAGCCTATGCGGTGGCAGGAGCATGGAGATGTGGGCGGCAGTATTTCGGCACAGGTGGAAGAGCTTCGTATGGACGCCAGCAGCAAAGGACGCACGTGGCTGCAAGAGAAGATGGCGAGCATGACGCGGGATGTCCTGCGGAAGGTTGCAGCAGCTTCTGGTTTTTCTACGCGTGGAGAAGATGGTTCAATGGTGGCACCGGCTGAGCTGTGCAATGCCCTCGTGGAGCATTTTGCCCCGCAGGCGAGTCTGTTGGGGGGAGATGTTTGGTTTGGTGAGGAGTTCGTTTCAGTTGTTAACAGTTTCTTTGGGTAGCATCACAGAATGTGTTTGGGGCAATGCTCTGACAGTTCTCTGCACAGGAACCTGGCACCTAACATTTCTTGTGGTCTTGGCACGGAGTGTTATAGGGATATAAGTATAGATTGTTGTGCAGATACTTGGTTATTGATGAGTTTTGTCTCTGTTGGCAAAGTTCTTTTCATGAGTTATGTTATGTTACTTCAAGAGCCCGCGTGCACCACAATTTCAGAGCCTATGCTGTGGCAGGAGCGTGGAGATGTGGGCGGCAGTATTTCGGCAGAGGTGGAAGAGCTTCGTATGGACGCCAGCAGCAAAGGACGCACGTGGCTGCAAGAGAAGATGGCGAGCATGACGCGGGATGACCTGCGGAAGGTTGCAGCAGCTTCTGATGTGTCTACACGTAGACAAGATGGTTCAATGGTGGCACTGGCTGAGCTGCGCAATGCCCTCGTGGAGCATTTTGCACCGCAGGCGAGTCTGTTGGGGGGAGATGTTTGGTTTGGTGAAGAGTTCGTTTCAATTGTTAACAGTTTCTTTGGGTAGCATCACAGAATGTGTTTGGGGCAATGCTCTGACAGTTCTCTGCAGGAGTGTTATAGGGATATACGTATAGATTGTTGTGCAGATACTTGGTTATTGATGAGTTTTGTGTCTGTTGGCAAAGTTCTTTTCATGAGTTATGTTACTTCAAGAGCCCGCGTCCACCACAATTTCAGAGCCTATGCGGTGGCAGGAGCATGGAGATGTGGGCGGCAGTATTTCGGCACAGGTGGAAGAGCTTCGTATGGACGCCAGCAGCAAAGGACGCACGTGGCTGCAAGAGAAGATGGCGAGCATGACGCGGGATGTCCTGCGGAAGGTTGCAGCAGCTTCTGGTTTTTCTACGCGTGGAGAAGATGGTTCAATGGTGGCACCGGCTGAGCTGTGCAATGCCCTCGTGGAGCATTTTGCCCCGCAGGCGAGTCTGTTGGGGGGAGATGTTTGGTTTGGTGAGGAGTTCGTTTCAGTTGTTAACAGTTTCTTTGGGTAGCATCACAGAATGTGTTTGGGGCAATGCTCTGACAGTTCTCTGCACAGGAACCTGGCACCTAACATTTCTTGTGGTCTTGGCACGGAGTGTTATAGGGATATAAGTATAGATTGTTGTGCAGATACTTGGTTATTGATGAGTTTTGTCTCTGTTGGCAAAGTTCTTTTCATGAGTTATGTTATGTTACTTCAAGAGCCCGCGTGCACCACAATTTCAGAGCCTATGCTGTGGCAGGAGCGTGGAGATGTGGGCGGCAGTATTTCGGCAGAGGTGGAAGAGCTTCGTATGGACGCCAGCAGCAAAGGACGCACGTGGCTGCAAGAGAAGATGGCGAGCATGACGCGGGATGACCTGCGGAAGGTTGCAGCAGCTTCTGATGTGTCTACACGTAGACAAGATGGTTCAATGGTGGCACTGGCTGAGCTGCGCAATGCCCTCGTGGAGCATTTTGCACCGCAGGCGTGTCTGTTGGGGGGAGATGTTTGGTTTGGTGAAGAGTTCGTTTCAGTTGTTAACAGTTTCTTTGGGTAGCATCACAGAAGGTGTTTGGGGAATGCTTTGACAGTTCTCTGCACAGGAATCTGGCACCTAACATTTCTTGTGGTCTTGGCACGGAGTGTTATAGGGATATACGTATAGATTGTTGTGCAGATACTTGGTTATTGATGAGTTTTGTGTCTGTTGGCAAAGTTCTTTTCATGAGTTATGTTACTTCAAGAGCCCGCGTGCACCACAATTTCAGAGCCTATGCGGCGGCAGGAGCGTGGAGAAGTGGGCGGCAGTATTTCGGCACAGGTGGAAGAGCTTCGTATGGACGCCAGCAGCAAAGGACGCACGTGGCTGCAAGAGAAGATTGCGAGCATGACACAGGGTGTCTTGCAGAAGGTTGCAGCAGCTTCTGATGTGTCGGCACGTAGACAAGATGGTTCAAAGTTGGCACTATCTGAGCTGCGCAATGCCCTCGTGGAGCATTTTGCAGCGCAGGCGAGTCTGTGGGGTGGAGATGTTTGGTTTGGTGAAGAGTTCGTTTCAGTTGTTAACAGTTTCTTTGGGTAGCATCACAGAATGTGTTTTTTGGGGATGCTCTGACAGTTGTCTGGACAGGAATCTGGCACCTAACATTTCTTGTGGTCTTGGCATGGAGTGTTATAGGGATATAAGTATAGATTGTTGTGCAGATACTTGGTTATTGATGACTTTTTTGTCTGTTGGCAAAGTTCGTTTCATGAGTTATGTTATGTTACTTCAAGAGCCCGCGTGCACCACAATTTCAGAGCCTATGGGGTGGCAGGAGCGTGGAGATGTGGGCGGCAGTATTTCGGCACAGGTGGAAGAGCTTCGTATGGACGCCAGCAGCAAAGGACGCACGTGGCTGCAAGAGAAGATGGCGAGCATGAAACAGGTTGACTTGCGGAAGGTTGCAGCAGCTTCTGGTGTTTCTACGCGTGGAGAAGATGGTTCAATGGTGGGAGTGGCTGAGCTGCGCAATGCTCTCGTGGAGCATTTTGCACCGCAGGCGAGTCTGTTGGGGGGAGATGTTTGGTTTGGTGAAGAGTTCGTTTCAGTTGTTAACAGTTTCTTTGGGTAGCATCACAGAATCTGTTTGGGGGGTGGTTTGACAGTTCTCTGCAGAGGAATCTGGCACCTAACGTTTCTTGTGGTCTTGGCACGGAGTGTTATAGGGATATAAGTATAGATTGTTGTGCAGATACTTGGTTATTGATGAGTTTTGTCTCTGTTGGCAAAGTTAGTTTCATGAGTTATGTGATGTTACTTCAAGAGCCCGCGTGCATCACAATTTCAGAGCCTATGCTGCGCCAGGAGCGTGGAGATGTGGGCGGCAGTATTTCGGCACAGGTGGAAGAGCTTCGTATGGACGCCAGCAGCAAAGGACGCACGTGGCTGCAAGAGAAGATGGCGAGCATGACGCGGGATGTCCTGCGGAAGGTTGCAGCAGCTTCTGGTTTTTCTACGCGTGGAGAAGATGGTTCAATGGTGGCACCGGCTGAGCTGCGCAATGCCCTCGTGGAGCATTTTGCCCCGCAGGCGAGTCTGTTGGGGGGAGATGTTTGGTTTGGTGAGGAGTTCGTTTCAGTTGTTAACAGTTTCTTTGGGTAGCATCACAGAATGTGTTTGGGGCAATGCTCTGACAGTTCTCTGCACAGGAACCTGGCACCTAACATTTCTTGTGGTCTTGGCACGGAGTGTTATAGGGATATAAGTATAGATTGTTGTGCAGATACTTGGTTATTGATGAGTTTTGTCTCTGTTGGCAAAGTTCTTTTCATGAGTTATGTTATGTTACTTCAAGAGCCCGCGTGCACCACAATTTCAGAGCCTATGCTGTGGCAGGAGCGTGGAGATGTGGGCGGCAGTATTTCGGCAGAGGTGGAAGAGCTTCGTATGGACGCCAGCAGCAAAGGACGCGCGTGGCTGCAAGAGAAGATGGCGAGCATGACGCGGGATGACCTGCGGAAGGTTGCAGCAGCTTCTGATGTGTCTACACGTAGACAAGATGGTTCAATGGTGGCACTGGCTGAGCTGCGCAATGCCCTCGTGGAGCATTTTGCACCGCAGGCGAGTCTGTTGGGGGGAGATGTTTGGTTTGGTGAAGAGTTCGTTTCAATTGTTAACAGTTTCTTTGGGTAGCATCACAGAATGTGTTTGGGGCAATGCTCTGACAGTTCTCTGCAGGAGTGTTATAGGGATATACGTATAGATTGTTGTGCAGATACTTGGTTATTGATGAGTTTTGTGTCTGTTGGCAAAGTTCTTTTCATGAGTTATGTTACTTCAAGAGCCCGCGTCCACCACAATTTCAGAGCCTATGCGGTGGCAGGAGCATGGCGATGTGGGCGGCAGTATTTCGGCACAGGTGGAAGAGCTTCGTATGGACGCCAGCAGCAAAGGACGCACGTGGCTGCAAGAGAAGATGGCGAGCATGACGCGGGATGTCCTGCGGAAGGTTGCAGCAGCTTCTGGTTTTTCTACGCGTGGAGAAGATGGTTCAATGGTGGCACCGGCTGAGCTGTGCAATGCCCTCGTGGAGCATTTTGCCCCGCAGGCGAGTCTGTTGGGGGGAGATGTTTGGTTTGGTGAGGAGTTCGTTTCAGTTGTTAACAGTTTCTTTGGGTAGCATCACAGAATGTGTTTGGGGCAATGCTCTGACAGTTCTCTGCACAGGAACCTGGCACCTAACATTTCTTGTGGTCTTGGCACGGAGTGTTATAGGGATATAAGTATAGATTGTTGTGCAGATACTTGGTTATTGATGAGTTTTGTCTCTGTTGGCAAAGTTCTTTTCATGAGTTATGTTATGTTACTTCAAGAGCCCGCGTGCACCACAATTTCAGAGCCTATGCTGTGGCAGGAGCGTGGAGATGTGGGCGGCAGTATTTCGGCAGAGGTGGAAGAGCTTCGTATGGACGCCAGCAGCAAAGGACGCACGTGGCTGCAAGAGAAGATGGCGAGCATGACGCGGGATGACCTGCGGAAGGTTGCAGCAGCTTCTGATGTGTCTACACGTAGACAAGATGGTTCAATGGTGGCACTGGCTGAGCTGCGCAATGCCCTCGTGGAGCATTTTGCACCGCAGGCGAGTCTGTTGGGGGGAGATGTTTGGTTTGGTGAAGAGTTCGTTTCAATTGTTAACAGTTTCTTTGGGTAGCATCACAGAATGTGTTTGGGGCAATGCTCTGACAGTTCTCTGCAGGAGTGTTATAGGGATATACGTATAGATTGTTGTGCAGATACTTGGTTATTGATGAGTTTTGTGTCTGTTGGCAAAGTTCTTTTCATGAGTTATGTTACTTCAAGAGCCCGCGTCCACCACAATTTCAGAGCCTATGCGGTGGCAGGAGCATGGAGATGTGGGCGGCAGTATTTCGGCACAGGTGGAAGAGCTTCGTATGGACGCCAGCAGCAAAGGACGCACGTGGCTGCAAGAGAAGATGGCGAGCATGACGCGGGATGTCCTGCGGAAGGTTGCAGCAGCTTCTGGTTTTTCTACGCGTGGAGAAGATGGTTCAATGGTGGCACCGGCTGAGCTGTGCAATGCCCTCGTGGAGCATTTTGCCCCGCAGGCGAGTCTGTTGGGGGGAGATGTTTGGTTTGGTGAGGAGTTCGTTTCAGTTGTTAACAGTTTCTTTGGGTAGCATCACAGAATGTGTTTGGGGCAATGCTCTGACAGTTCTCTGCACAGGAACCTGGCACCTAACATTTCTTGTGGTCTTGGCACGGAGTGTTATAGGGATATAAGTATAGATTGTTGTGCAGATACTTGGTTATTGATGAGTTTTGTCTCTGTTGGCAAAGTTCTTTTCATGAGTTATGTTATGTTACTTCAAGAGCCCGCGTGCACCACAATTTCAGAGCCTATGCTGTGGCAGGAGCGTGGAGATGTGGGCGGCAGTATTTCGGCAGAGGTGGAAGAGCTTCGTATGGACGCCAGCAGCAAAGGACGCACGTGGCTGCAAGAGAAGATGGCGAGCATGACGCGGGATGACCTGCGGAAGGTTGCAGCAGCTTCTGATGTGTCTACACGTAGACAAGATGGTTCAATGGTGGCACTGGCTGAGCTGCGCAATGCCCTCGTGGAGCATTTTGCACCGCAGGCGAGTCTGTTGGGGGGAGATGTTTGGTTTGGTGAAGAGTTCGTTTCAGTTGTTAACAGTTTCTTTGGGTAGCATCACAGAAGGTGTTTGGGGAATGCTTTGACAGTTCTCTGCACAGGAATCTGGCACCTAACATTTCTTGTGGTCTTGGCACGGAGTGTTATAGGGATATACGTATAGATTGTTGTGCAGATACTTGGTTATTGATGAGTTTTGTGTCTGTTGGCAAAGTTCTTTTCATGAGTTATGTTACTTCAAGAGCCCGCGTGCACCACAATTTCAGAGCCTATGCGGCGGCAGGAGCGTGGAGATGTGGGCGGCAGTATTTCGGCACAGGTGGAAGAGCTTCGTATGGACGCCAGCAGCAAAGGACGCACGTGGCTGCAAGAGAAGATTGCGAGCATGACACAGGGTGTCTTGCAGAAGGTTGCAGCAGCTTCTGATGTGTCGGCACGTAGACAAGATGGTTCAAAGTTGGCACTATCTGAGCTGCGCAATGCCCTCGTGGAGCATTTTGCAGCGCAGGCGAGTCTGTGGGGTGGAGATGTTTGGTTTGGTGAAGAGTTCGTTTCAGTTGTTAACAGTTTCTTTGGGTAGCATCACAGAAGGTGTTAGTTTAGATGCAGTGGGAGCAGTTGTGTGGATAGTCGTGTTTGGGGGATGCTCTGACAGCTCTCTGCACAGAGGATTTTGTTCGCGGCAGGATGATGATGTGCATGCATTGAAAGCTAGACTAGAGCAGCTTCGTATGGATGGCCGTCGGGAAGGCGTGAAGTGGCTTCGAAAGGTTGTTGGTGAGATGGAAGAGCATGCGCTGCGGTCCCTGAGCGCAGCGGCTGGCTTGGGGCTTGTCGATGGCAGCGGAAAGTCGCTTTCTGGCGCCAAAGTTCGGGCATCGTTGGTGAAGTATCTGGCTCCTGAGGCGGGGGATTGAGGATGACAGATGGAATGTTTTTGTTGTTTTGGTGGAATGCTGAGAGACTGAATGTTGTCAAAAAGGAGGTCAGCAATGCATCGTGACATCCTGACATTTTCAGAGAGAAAATTTGCAACTTCAACTACTAGTGTCAAAACAAGCACAGCTTTCGTTCTGATTGTCGGTCAGGATAGAAATGATGATCGCAACGATATCGGTACAATACTTTGGTAAATGTATCAGAGTGCCGCACTGTTGCCAACTGAGCCAGATGGACATGAATTGGAGGAGAGTGGTGGCCGGACATTGACAGGCTGTTATGTGTCTTTGAGGCCAAGTTATCAGCGCCGGGAGGAGCAAGCTTTGGGTGATGGAGAAGTTTGGAAACGAAAGTTTTGTGAAGATTACGGACGATTGGTGATACAAAATCATTTTCACAAATGCACGAAATCATGTTTCAAGAAGAGTCTTGGTGATGATTTCACGGGGAAACGGGTTTGCAAACTTGTTATGTATGTTTTTTGCTTCGGTGTTTTGCTATTAGTTTGCTTACTTTGTTCAGCTTAAAATGTTCGTATTCTGTGTCAGATCTTTGCCACGGAGGAAAGCTGTGAAAGGCAAGCGTGGATGTCGCTTTGGTTGTTTTCACATTGAATTGATCAAGGACGCTGAAGGCAAGCAGAAAACAATTTGTAAAAAAGGATGGCCACGCGTGCAGAAGGCGTGTTTTTCAAGGCTACAGTATGAAACTGAAGACTTGGCACGACAAGAGGAATTCAAGAATGAGAACCCGCATGTTTTTCAGGCTCAGCGGGATCATCCTTTTGAAGGCATGTCGAATCCAGTGGCTCAAGTTGTCATGCGTTGCAACGTTGATGTGAAGTACATTGGTCGTGCATTTGCTGAAAAAGATTTGAACAAGTTTTGCGATGGGAGCATGTCATCGGACTTTGATGAGTCACACACTGATGGGGTGCATGCACAGGGTCACTTGCGTCCTGTTGTGCCACAGCCTGTAGCCGGGTCGTCGCAACCGGAACTGTCCGAGCGCGATCTGTGCGACATGGATGTGGCGCAACAGGACACGGGTGGGCCTGCCTCGCAAGACTCAGGATGCAAGAGAAAGAAGACAACTATGGTGCGCGAACAAGGTCACTTGCGTCCTGTTGTGCCACAGCCTGTAGCCGGATCGTCGCATCCGGAACTGTCCGAGCGCGATCTGTGCGACATGGATGTGGCGCAACAGGACACGGGTGGGCTTGCCTCGCAAGACTCAGGATTCAAAAGAAAGAAGACAACTGTGTTAAGTCAAAGTGTTCCAGAGTCCAGGAGGATGCAGACTATGAAAATGGCTTTGGAACGGGTGCTTATCGATATGTCACGGGATATGCAAGATGTCGGCTTTTACACTGGTGAATATGCTGCCAAAAAATTTGAGATTTCTCGGAGCATGTTGCCGGAGCTGTATGCAGGCAGGATTTGTGTTGTTACATGTCTATTTTGTTTTGTCATTGTTATTGGTGTTGTGGTAGGTGCTATTCTGTTGCTGTTGTTGTTGTTGTTGGTGGTGGTGTTACACATGTTGTTGTTGTTGTTGTTGTTGTTGTTGTTGTTGTTGTCCTTCTTGTTGATGTTGGTGTTGTTGTTGTTGTTGCTGTTCCTTTTAATCTTCCTGTTGTTGTTGTGGTTGTTGTCGTTCTTGTTGTTGTTGCTGATGATCTTCTTCCTCTTCTTCTTCTTCTTCATCTTCTTCTTCTTGTTATTCTTCTTCTTCTGCTTGTGCTTCTTCCTTCTTCTTCTTTTTCTGGCTGTTTGCTTGTAGTTGTTTTTCAATTCTTCTTCTTCTTCTGCTTGTGCTTCTTCCTTCTTCTTCTTTTTCTGGCTGTTTGCTTGTAGTTGTTTTTCAATGTTTGCTGGTTGTGTTGAACACATGGCAGGAGTACAGAGATTGGAAGAGGAAGAAGCAAAGCGACAGCAGGCCGCCGTGGAAGATGCCAGCATGGAGAACGTGGATGCAAAGAAGACGCCTGGCATGAGTGGGCCACAAAGTCGTGCGCTGAGTATCTTGCGTCGTCTGGCCTTCGGAATGAATCGCTGCATCGCCAAGTCGAACGGGGAGATGGCGTATCAGCTGCTCTTTGAACAAGAACAGTACGTCACATATCGTGGCTACAACATGTTTTTTCGGTATCTGCCATTTGCAATCATGCGGTGCAGGGCAGATGCAATTGCAGCGGCACTGGCCGACGCACCTCATCTCACTGCAGGTCCAGTTGATGTTGTCGAAGATGTGGAGGACGTGCCAGTCGCTGGGGATGAGATTGCAGAAGTGATTGAAGATGAGGGCGAGGGGACCCGAGTGACGCAAGTTCCAGTGCACTTCAATCAGAAAGATGATTATCTGCATCGTGGCTCTTCTACATTGCTGAAATGCATGTCACTGGCAATGTACTCGAGGTTTGTGCGTCGTGTTCCACGCGCAAAGGCTGGTAAAGTTGATGGAGTGAAGATTTTTGCATTCGACGAGCATTATCCACATCATAAAGAGTCGGTGCAGGACATTGGGCGAAAACAGAACTTGTGAATCTTCTGTGCATGATGTTAAGTAAGTGTTGTGAAGCAATTGTTGTTTTTCATGCGTGTGGAAGTTTTGATTCCTTCAGGAAGTCAGAGCTGCTGATGACAATGTGGTTGTGCCGTCTGATTTACATTTGCCACAGGAAGCGGAGCCTCAAAAATATGCTGCACATGCTCGGGCTGTGTTTCCCCTTTCCAACGTGCACTGGTGATTGCAGCGATTCCTACAAATGCTTTGCGTGTCACATTTTGGAGAAGAATGAGAAGGAAGGGATGATTTTTGCTAGATTTGTGCCGCAGTGGCGACATTGGAAAGCGTGCATGCTGGTTCGTAGAGAGACTGCACAGGAGCGCGTGTTGGCAGGATTGTCTTCGCCTGTGATTCGAGATGTCAGCACTGTCCGCAAATGTTTCCCGCGTTCTTCAGCAAGCGGTGATGGGGAGACTGTGGCAACTTTGATGCGTGTCCTGCATCGCAAACTGCGGCCCCGGGACTGCCGATTTCATGACGTTCCTCGGATTTTGGAGCGCATTGCTTGGTATCTTGATGTCAGGCCTCCATATCACTACACTCAGTTGTCGCCGTTGGAATATCTTTCTATCATCCAGACAGCCTGGATGGAGCGCTTTGAACAACATCACGCTGCACGCAGGCTCAGCAGCAGTCGTCGACGGGCAGAGCGGTTCGCTCTGATGACAAAGCTGGAAGACGACGACATTGAGGATGATTGTGCGCCACCTGACATCGAAGGAGATGAAGTTGAAGATGACCTGCGGCGTCAAGATGAGTTGGAGCGGCTTGAACGGGCGCAGTACATTGTGGATCATGAGGCTTTACATGAAGCCATGTTTCGAGAGCAGGATTGGATGCGTGTTTTGAGCAATCCACGCGCAACTGTTTTGAAAGACACCTTGCGACATCTTCGTGACTTTGTCAATGCACTTGGAGGAATTCCAGATGTGAGGAGAGGCATGGGCATTCGAAGCAGCAGTGTGGCTGGTGTCGAGCGCAGCTGGACTGCGGCAGATGCTGAGAGAGGCATGGCTTTGCAGAAGCAGTACTTGGAGTTTTGTGCTGGAGGCCGGGGGCTGTATCTTTGTTGGTGGAGCGTGCTTTGTGCATTCGAGTGATTTGCTTTTTTTCTTGTGGTTTGTTTGGTTTGTAAATTGTTGCAATGAAGGTTTGGAGGAGGAAGATGAGCAGATGCCAGACCAGCATTTTGAACCTTTGGAAGAAGCCATCGATCCATTTTTGGCTGCACTCAACGCTCAATGCATTGGACCAGGAGACTATGCTGCGGAGCTTGTCGTCAATTCCACCCTCAATCGACAACAGATTTTGGCAGTGGCTCCGATTGCTTGGGTCATGGAGCAGATGTGGTTGAATCGCTCCAATCCACAGTCAACTTTGGCAGATGGCGCAGCCACTGAAAGCTGCAATTGCCTTTGGTTGGGCGCTGGTGGCTCTGGCAAGACATAGGCCTACTCCAAAGTCTTGGAGCGCATGATGTTGGATATGGGTCGCTATCTCGAGCAGTGGTATGGTAAAGCTCCAATTGGTGTCCAGCTTGGCGACTTTCTGCAACTCCGGCCGACAGCACAGCGCTCGCTGTGCGAGTGGCATGATGCTCCGCGCGCCACCGATGCGCGTGGAGATGGCGCTTCAAGTGAGGAAGAGGAGTTGCCAGAGAATGAAGCTGCACAGCACACTAGCAATGCTGCTGAGTTGGGCCGCCTGATGTTCAAAAACTCTTTGCAGCGGGTTGTTCACTTCACTGGATCTGGGAGATTTTCGGACTGTCCATCTGGGCAGCAGCTGGTGGCGATCCTAAAGTCCATGCGGGAAGGCAAGGAGATGTCGGACGATCTGTGGGCGGCCCTTGAGGCCAGGGCCTATGGCAAGAAGGAGTTGCAGGCGGATGAGTTGCGGCAGCGTTTGCTCGATGCTCACTGGGGAGGTCTTGCTTGGGAACAAGTAGCTCGTCTTCAACATCTTCGCGTCGGCTTGGAAGGCAAAGAATTGAAGAAAACTGTGTATTTCGTTCAGGCCATTGATCGAGCTACGGGCCCAAATGAGCTCACCCGGGAACAGAGCATGGCAGCACTACAGATCGTGAACATGACCAAAACTCATTATCTGATTGGTATTTGTCCTCTGTATGAAGGTATGCCTTGTCGCATCAGTTGTATTTTGGATGCTCCGCTGCTGAACCGAGAGTTGCCGGTTATTGTTCGATCCATCAAGTTGCACCCAAGCGAGCCCGCAATCGCCGACAACTGTGGCTGTGTTGTATTGAGATACCAGCCCGTTGCTGTGTTGGTGGAGATAGACGATCCCAATTACAAGAATATTCAGGTGTCTGGTGACGTTGCCCCCAAGGGCCATGTCTTGCTGCGAGCAGTTGCGTCGGACAAAGCCTGGAGCTTGCAAGTCGGACCGAAGCAGTCGGTGCCGGTGATTCGCAAGCAAATTCCACTGGCGCCACGTTGTGTTTTAACACATTATGGCTTGCAGGGCATTACCGCGAGAAACGGGTTGGTGGCCTTCCTGACCAAACCTGCGTGGATGAAGGATGCCGACTATGCGTTGGCGATCTATGTCATGCTGTCGAGACCACGAAAGCTCGACGATTTGTGGATCATTGATTTACCACCGCGTCACATGTTTCAACATTTTCTCCATGATCACAATCCTCTTTTGGTGCAAAGGATGAAAGAGTTCGAGCAGCAGGCCAACCTCGACGAGATGAAAGCATTGTCCTACGTGGGCAAATTGCAATGGCATCAAAAGGAAGCTATTGCTCGACAACTCTCCACTGAGGATTTGATGAGCATCGCAGGTTCCAATAGTAGGATGAACGTGTGATCTGCAGTAGTGTCCGCTGTTTTTAAAACATGCAGAGTGACGTGTTTCTCAGCTGTTGCAGTTGTGCACATGCAAGGAAAAAGGCATCTCTGGAAGTGACGTGTGACAAATAACGAGCACTGCCGCAGTCAGCATGTTTGTTTTGTATGTAGAGTTGCGTGCAAGGATAGTGATAGGTAATTCACTGAATGTATATGTGTCGGGAAAGTTGTATCGTCTCGAGCGCGGGGTGATGCATTCTATGTGTGTTTTTTTCCTTTATTGCATGCAACAAAAAGCTGCAGCACGCAGCTGCAGAATGTTGTGGGACGTGTTCTCACGAAAAAAGTTCAGTAGTTTTATTGTAAATGCATCAGTGCGATGTTGTATGCCGTTCTGTTCTCAACAAGTCAACGCATGTTGCAATGTAGTATTTGTTTAATTTGCTGCAGCCGGAAATGTCCGAGCGGCCAGCAATAAAAAGAATACTAGGTGTAAGCTTTTTTTCGGACAGAGAGAACAGGACGGCAAGGACACGGAGTGGTGCCAACCATGCAATTCACAGACAAAAAGATAGAGTGTCTCACTATCTCAACGCTTCAACAGATATGGATGGTTGGTTTTGACGTTCGTGCAATTGTTTGTTGACTGTGTGATCGCAGGCAGTGATGGCACTTCATGACTGGTCAGCTTGGCCATCTGTACCACGTCTTTGTCGGCATTCCTCGCTTTGCTTTGATTTAATGCAGATTTCATTTACCAGAACTTGCTCAGAATGTGTTGGTGGTGTCTGTTGAATTGCTGCTATGAATGCATTGTTTTATTCGCTTGATCTGCATTTTCGTGTTTGGTTTGGAACTCTTTCTTCATACACATTTGGATGGTGTATTGATGGATCTGGCCGATGATGATGATGATGATGATGAGGATGGTGATGAGAATGATGATTTTGAATCATGGAAGATGATGATGAATGATGATGATGATGGTGAAGATGATGTTGATGAGGATGATGATGATGATGGATGAAGATGGATTGTAGATGATGGACGATGGTGGTTTCTACGAAGCATGAATATCTCTCATGGGCAAATCATGAAATCAATATGTTTCATTTGACTTTCCTTTGTATGCAAGGTTGTGCAGAACTGCGAGGTCGACGTTGGATGTGACTGGTTGGCCATTTGTTTTTGTAAGCGGTTGTTGTGAAGTGACTATAATTTGCTTTGACAATTTCAAACGCTGATATTTGCATGTGAATGGCAGCAATCAGACGTGTAGACTCTGTTTCAATATGTCGATGTGTAGCAAATTCCAAATTCACTAGTTCCACTGGGTCTTTGGTTGTATGTGCACTTAGCCGTTGTTCATTGGATGCCAGGGTCTGGACTGGTACAACATCATTGAATTCGGTGAAGGACCGAACCGTCGCTTTGCTAGGAACTTGAGGTTGTTTTTTTTTGCAAGTTGGACACAAGCATTTCTGAAGCAATTTCTGAGCATGTTCAGTTTCAGCAATTTCTGAGCATGTTCAGCAAGGACTCCATCGAAGATCAATAAAGTTGTCAGTTCCTTTTGCGCATATAGTTGTGCCGGAACATCAATGAATGTGATCTGTCGCAGTCATTAGCCATAGTCCTTGAATGCTTTGCAGGTCCGCATTGTTGGTCTGTGCAGCTAGGTTTGCATCGAGTCAGGGCCCTGGGATGGGATGGATTACCTGTTGAGTGGTAGTACCTGTTCATATTATATAGCATGGTAGTTGGATTTTACCCTTCTATTTTTTGCCCTTCCACTCAGACCTCTTTGCATAATGCGACCTATGTCTTTTCAAGGAATGTCCTATGTCCTCTGATGGTGTCAGCTATGTGACCGTGATTACAGGCGCGCGGATGAATGGAGCAGAGGACTTGAAAGGTCGTTAATTGACTCTTTTAATGAAAGGCATAGTTTTACGTTCGTCGAGACTGAGATCCCAATCGGCAGTAGTCGGGATATCTTCAACACCACTTGTGATGCAATGTGGAAGATCTTATTGCGTTCACAGAGATGCTGGACCTGAGGTCGTGTCCGTGGAGGTGCCCAGATAAAGATCAACCGCGGTAGCCACTGATGTCAATTGAATTTGAAAATGAAGTGCATCAGCATGAGTCAACCAGAATTGTCTGAGACTCGCTGATGCACGCATCTTTGATTGAGACATTCAGTTTCACCATAGCGCACCCTGTCTCACCATAGTGCATCCGCGTGAGTCAAGCAGAACGGGCTGAGACTCTATCGAAGATGAATAAAGCTGCCGATTCCTTTTGCGCATATAGTTGTTGGTCTGTGCAGCTAGGTTTGCATGTAGTCAGAGCCCTGGGATGGGATGGATTACATGGATAGGCAGGCTGCTACCACGAAGAGACAAATCGATGTATTATATATTGAGATAGGAATAGCAATATGAAATAGAGATGGATGTATGAATGTTAATATATAGAGATGGATGTATGAGTGTTAAAATAAGAGTTTCAATTCCAGTCACATGGACCCTAAACCCAAAAACCACACGGAAACGAGCACAAGGGCCATCCCATTATATCATATTGTAATACTGTGCTTCTCCAGCCCAGAAACGTTCGCCGCCTGCCAGGTCCGCCCGTTTATACTTCTTTTTGGGGAGATGGCAAACCACCTTGGTTGGGGGGGCCCAAAGCACATAGCCCTCATGACATGTTTATACATGCTGGTTTCGAGTAAGATCATTTCCTTTCTTTTCCGGTTCACATGGAAATGGGACTTCACCACGCCACCCCATCGACACATGCACGCACGATATAAGGTATACGTGCCCAGGCTCCTCCTCAGGTCTTATGACTTTCAATGGAGGTGATGGTGTACCATGGCCTTGCCATCAGCCATGGTACATCTATTGTCACTTCCTCCCAATTGAATCTATGATAACCTTTGGCCTGCAGTGCCAGTAACCCCGGTTCCCCCGGTGTGTAAAAGTGTCTGTGTGTAAAAGCGTCTGTGTGTGTAAAAGTCTCTGTGTGTAAAAGCGTCCGTGTGTAAAAGCGCCTGTGTGTAAAAATGTCTGTGTGTAAAAGGGTCTGTGTGTAAAAGCGTCTGTGTGTAAAAGTTTCTGTGCGTGTAAAAGCGTTTGTGTGTAAAAGTGTCTGTGTGTAAACGTGTCTGTGTGTAAAAATGTCTGTGTAAAAGCGTCTGTATGTAAAAGCGTCTGTGTGTAAAAGCTTCTGTGTGTAAAAGCCTTTGTGTGTAAAAGCGTCTGTGTGTAAAAGCGTCTGTATGTAAAAGCGTCTGTGTGTAAAAGCTTCTGTGTGTAAAAGCCTTTCTGTGTAAAAGCGTCTGTGTGTAAAAGCGTCTGTGTAAAAGCTACTGTGTGTAAAAGCTTCTGTGTGTGAAAGCTTTTGTGTGTAAAAGTGTCTGTGTGTAAAAGTGTTTGCGATGCAAACTATTGTCTTGTACTTCTCACTATCCTGTCTTGCTACTCTTCTCTACTGCCTATAACACATCTTTCATATATCGTTTCTAAAATTGCGTCTCCATACTAACAAGAGAAGACCCTGCTCCGCTACGCTCTCGGGCCATCCGTCGTCTAGTTTTTCCGTCCAACGCCTCTTGGCTTTCGCCAGGTCGTTTACCACGTCCAGTTGCAACAGAACCGGCAAATTAGCTAATTAATGCATGCAAATGGGGTGGGCCACAAAAGCGAACTGGTGTGACCTGTGCATAGTCCAGCCGCCGTCACGATTCCATTGCAGAAAACAGCAGACAGCCAAACCACACCAAAAGCAACAAACAAAAAACAAACACAACCAAACAAACCAAAAACACACACCAAAAAAATCAAAGTGGAAAGTGATCGGCGGTCCAGTTCAGAGACTAATGATGAGGGTGAGGTGATAGCATTGTGTCAACTCAGGTATTGGTATGGCAGAACCAAGAAAAAAAGAGAACACAGAACCACAAAAATCACATCGTCGAGTGAGTGAAGCAACACAGCACTATGCGGAAACCAGGGATCGCCCCAGCCAGGATCCCCGAGATCACATAGAGGAAGCCATCAAGGCGTAACAACTCACAATCATAAAACACTTCGATGCTAGCAACGACAACGCCATGTAGCATGAAGTGGTGAGACAGCGGTGAGAAGGATCTAGGGTGAGAAAAGATGTCGAGGAAGCTAGAGACCATCATAGAAGGATCTAGGGTGAGAAAAGATGTCGAGGAAGCTAGAGAACATCATCCATCTCGCAAGAAGGCCATCCTCAAGCACTGATGTACCCCCCACGTTGTATGACGGGCTATTTGTCATGACCACAGCCACTGACCACAAGAACAACCTAAATAGCTCCGCCCTTAAGAAGAACTATGCCCGCACGCTGAGAGTTGAAACCATTGCACACTCAGCAGGAGGTACGGCACAAGTTGCAATAGTCGCTCAGCCAAGTACAGGTTTCCTCAACACAAGGTTCTACCCAAACGGCTCCCCCACGGAAGACACCGAAGATTGCTTGGGCCGCATCACGGTAGGGCTCACCCGTTCGAAATCTTTGACTCTGCTGGTCTCCCCGCTCGACATGATGGGACCCATGGGCATGGCTCAGGTAATTGCAACGATTGCCTACGGCATCCAAGGCCTCAGAAGAGGGGAAACCACCTGGGATTGGCCCAATTTTAATGCCAATCCGGAACAAGAAAACCTTGACCAAATGCGAAGATGGTCATTAAATACAGCGCCTTCTTGGTCGAACCCTCCCTTGGCAATTGCCAACAAATATCATGACCACCAGACCAACCAGACAAAGAGCGTACGATATCGACTCATCTTAGTACGGTGTCAGACCTTGCATGGCTGAAAGGAGATCGGCTCAAGGATCTACAAGCGCACACAAGGACTGGCCATAAGTGGATCCCGACACAGCAACTTCCTTACGCAGAAATCATTTTATACGCATACGCTGCTGACCGCACGAACCGGCCTTCATACGTGTGCCTGCCATCTGGATTGTACA